TGTATGTATATATATATATAATATATATATATATATAGAGAGAGAGAGAGAGAGTAGATTTATTATATTCAATAACTCATACTTTATATCAAATTTCAACAACCCAATCGTTGAATTTAAAGTTATTAATGCATGGATCAAATCTGCAAATATTAAAAAATTTGAAAATCATTTGATACTGCTTTTATTAATTTAAATCAACGTATAAAATGTTTGAATAAATATCAACGTATAAAATATTTTTATAATTATCTATCAATTTGAATTAATGAAACAAAATATCAAATGATTTTCAAATTTTTTTTAAAAATTTGCAGATTTGATCTATGCATTAAAAACTTTAAATTCAATGGTTGAATCATTGAGATTTGATATAAAACATGAGTTATTAAACAGAGTAAGTCTAGGTATACTTACTCCTGAAGTAAACGGATCCCTCCTTATATATATATATATAGGGAAATGTTAATATACTCTCACCTATTTTTTAGTTGGAGTATGTTAGCAACCTACACCAAAATTTAAGAACAAGAAAATCACTCATTTCTTTTGATTTGGTTAATTTGTATAAAGGATATTATAGTAAATTAATTTAATTTAAAAAAATAAAATATTTTTTCTCTCTTATTAATTTCATTCTCTAAATCATTTCTCTCTCCTATTAAATTTCTTCTCCAACTCAAATTCTCTTTCCTATTAAATTCCTTCTCTAACTCATTTATCTCTCTCCTATTAAATTCTTTCTTTAATTTATTTCTCTCTTATCTCCCATGATGTCTTCCCTCTACCTCTGAACAAATAGAAAATTAATTAATAGAAAAAAAAAATAAAATGGAGAATGAAGTTAATAAGAGAGAAAATATTTTATTTTATTTTAAAAATAAATTACTATAATATCTTTTATACAAATTAATCAAATCAAAAGAAAAGAGCGGTCTTATTCACCTAAAACTTTTGTGTAAGTTGATAACATACTCTAACTAAAAAATAGATAAGAGTATATTAGCATTCCTTATATATATATATATATATATAAGAAAGAATTCATTTATTCTATAAATAAATTTATCTAATTACTTCATTTAATAACTCATGTTCTATATCAAATCTCAATAATTTAAACGTTGAATTTAAAATTCTTAATGAAAATATCAAATTTACAAATTTTAAAAATTTTAAAAATTATTTGACACTTCGTTTCATTAATTTAAATTAAAAATATATATATATATATATATAAATTAAAAAA